GGAGGCTTCAGGAGGCAGCTCGGCCGCGCTGGGGCGGCCCGGCCCGGCGCAGGGCCTGTGTTATTAAAGTGCTCCCTCGGCGGCGTGGGGACGGGTAAGGGCAGGCGGTGGGCAGCGGGTTGGGCTGGAGCCGACGGAGCTGCCCCGTCTGCCGTGCTGGAGTTCCGTCGGACCTTAGTGCCACTCCAGCAGGTGCCTTGGGGTGAAGAGTGAGCGGCCAGTGCCTGTAAAAGATCAGGAATTAGGTTTTTTTAATGTCATGCAATTAGTTAGAAGAGATGTCAGAGAGGCAGAGGCCGCTTAGGGTAGGAGTCTTAATTACTTGCATTCAAAGTAAGGAGAACTTTTTGTCAGAGGCGAGGCCTGTGCAGAACAGGCCCCCTCCTCGGTGCGGGAAGAGCCCCTCTCCTCATGGAATCACAACCAGCTGCTCGATGCCCGCCCTTGCCCTGGGTGGGGATTGACAGACTGGCTTGGCAGGACTCAGCTTCACTTCGATTGTGTTTGGGTGCTCCCGACATCCTGGCCTTGCCTAGAGAAGTCCTAGAAACCGAAGGCCCAGTAAAGGATTATCGAGTAGGTTTGGGCCTGGTAAACCATAGGAAAAATTACTCTCCAAAAATATACTCCAAATACTGACTGCTAATGTTTCAGTCAGGGAAGTCCTTTGACATGGAGAGCTTTTGCTGCTTTAAAGGCAATCACCCTATCCTTGACCTCAAGCCATTCTTAAGGCGCTGCTTAGTCACAGGTGGGTGCTCTGCAAGGTGCAGAGCTCTCTCATGACAGCCCTGGACAGGCATGCAGGTGCAGACCAGTTCAGTGGCCTAATTACACCCAGTGGCGGTGGCTGTGTGTTATTTGTGTGAGTAGCTGGGAAGGACTAAACATTACAGTGACTATGTAGAAATTCTTCCCGGTGAGGCAAGCTGATGTGAAATGCTGCTACAGGACATGGTTGAGGAAGTGTTCTGGTGAGATCCAAGCTGTCAAGGAGCTGGTTTTATTTAGCTTAAAAGAAGTGTTTCCCCTTTGCATCTTGGAAACGGAAAGAGCTCTGTGGCCTCATCAGTCTGTCCCTCCCAGCCAGGCTGAGAATCTGCACCTAGCTCAACTATGAAGTAATGTCCCAGTAGAATTTCTTGGTCAGGTTATTTTATTTTTTTTTTATTAAAGTTAGACTTTTTAATGTCTTCCTCCTTGGATAGCTGCATTTTTCAGATACATCTATACTGCTATGTTTTTCTCTTTCCTAAAGAGCGCACGGCCTGAAACTACAGGGCTTTTGATTGTTTTCCC